GATTGAAGGTTTTTCACAATGAGTATAACACCACTCAAAGTTACTCAGTCCTTAGACTTTTCTCAATCGATCCAGTGGGGATCAAAAGGTACTCTATCTATCTACCCACACTTTAGGATCCGAACAACTGTTCTCCTAAGTGTTTACAACCACTTGTGTAATGTTTACAAGAAAGTTCTAACCTCCAACTATGAACTAAGCTCTAAAAATGTGAAAGTGTTGATCTAATCTAAGAGCTTAGTGAAGCATGAGGCTAAGCAGAGAGTAAAGTTGAGTTTGCACTTTCTCTTTTGCTAGATAGCTCGTATATGCTTTGATGAAAGTATTTCTCTACTTAGGATGCTCAAGCTTGTTTTTGAACTCATGCTTCTACCTATATTTATAGGCCTTCATGGTTGATTAATCTCATCCGTTGGTTGAGATGGATTAATCTTGTGCGTTGAGGGTCTGGCTAGGACGAATTGTACATTCGTCTTCTTGTGCAGGAGCTTTTAATCTTTTTGTTTTCTGTCTTGAATGATTGGGCTGCGGTATGGGTGTGTCTTCAGCCGCTGCAGCTTCACTCCAAGAAGTCCTCCCATGCTGTAGGACCATGTATTTAATTTTTGTCTTCCAATCAATATTTAGTGTATTCGAGCATCTCAAATGTGACCTATATTTAATCTTTAAGTAAAATGATATATGCCGGTAGGATTTAAATATCCTATAAAGGTAAAAAGATACCTTATTGCATTTTTATGTATCCGGTAATATATCATTAATCTTAAAGATTGTACATTTATTTTTGTCACTTATGATTAAAATGTTACTTCTGAAAATAAGACTCAATGTAAATTTGTTTAGTATAGTGGCATCATCAAAATCTATCAAAATTGGAGACTAACACTAAACCCTATTGAAGACGTTCATCCCTCCTAGAGGAACATGGGCTTGCCAGGCTAGCCTAATGATCTAGCTGGACGTACGTCCGGAAGTAAGGGTAAATGGGCCGACCCTCAACTTGGGCCATTAACCCAACAACATTATTAGTTTTTCAATCACTTTATTACAATTGTGTCAAAGCAAAACAAGACACATAAATTGGGATAGAGGCAGTAGTAATACTTAAAACTGTACACTTTACAATTATTTTTATGTTAGTGTTCCAGCTTTTAAAATATATACACTGACCTCCATTTTTAAAATGGCTGTGTCAATTTTTATTTTTTGAAGGATTATATATTTATACTCCGTATATAGTTTTTCTTAGAAAATTCTCTAAATAGGACTAAAACATAGATTAAATTTATAAATAGGAATATGAATGTTTTATTTCCAAAATAGGACTCATTCGCTCCTATTTTGGAAGTTTTAATCTTGTTATTCTTTTGATAGAACTAAATAAGCCCTATTTGGAGAATAAAACACAGTAATTCCTATTTGTTTTACTTTGTGTATGTTTTAGTCTAATATTAAACAATTTCTATTTTTTTCAGTGGTGTCAATTTTAATTTTTTGAAAAATTATATATACCTATATATGAAGAAGAAAAAGTTGAGTGGTGTCAATTGACACCACAACTCATAGTGTGGCTCCGCCACTGAGTTCACTATCAATAAAGAATGTGAAAGATAAGTGTGTCGATATAGGAATCGAATTATATTTATCAATCCAACATCTTAACTTTTAATTTTTTATTTTAAGAAATTTAAATATTACTCCGTATTTAATATTATTAAATTAATAAACTTTTGTGAAGAAGCAATCATAAAAAATTAACTATGAAATTAATAAAAAATTAAATTAATCAAAATCTATTACTCCCTCTGCCCTGTAAACAACTTCTCACTTTCCTTTTTGGGCAGTCCCGAAATTAACTTCACACTTCAAAACTTTCCTTATTTGGCAAATTCTCTACATCAAAACAGTGTCAAACTGTGTCAAACAGTGTCCAAACAGTGTCAAATAGTGCTTAAACAGTGCAAAACGGTGCACTCCACAGTAAAGTCAAATTTATTTGCTTAATCTGTGTGAAGTCAAAGTGTGAAGTTAAGATGTTTTTACTTAGACTAAAATTTGTCCCAAACCAGACCAGAGTAGATCAGACCAATCCAATCCAGACCAGACAAGACCAGACTTGAGTAGTTATAAAAATACAAAGAAACCAGACCAGACCAGACCAGACCAGCAAATTACCGTCCAAGTAAAACATCCTTAATTGCGAGACGGAGGGAGTACTTTTAAGACTTTGTTTGATAGTACGTATTCAATCGCTCAAAGTTTAATTTGAACCCTATATCAATATACTTTAGAGCATCTCCAATAAGAAAATGGATTGATAAAAAATGCATTGCCATGTCAACAAAATAGATGGTGGGATTAAAATATGCCCTCCAATGGAACTGTCTATATTTTTGGTGGTGGTGAGTTGGAATAGAAAACCGTCCACACCGTGCTTTCCGCTTTCTACTTTCAACAACCATGTTAGACAGCCAACTCAGCGGCAAAATATTTTATTTGGCCGCAGTTCGTGAAAAAATTCTCCAAAAAAACTCAAATTATTTGGAACAAGAAAACCCACCCATAACATATTTCAGTCGTATCTTTCATTCTTTCGAAGCTGGTAGAACCTCCAAGCCTCCTGGCATCTTCGAAGTGGTAGTCATTATATTTTTAATCTCTTTCTATTTTTTTTTTGACGCATCTCTTTCTATTTTATTTAATTATGAATTACTACAAAGTTTTTTTTTATTTGAGAGAATTACTGTAAAGTTGTTGATGCTCAAGTGCATGGTATAAATGATACGAATTGATCTCCTTTTAGATAATGCTTTTCAGAGGGATGGTAGAAGGAAATAAAGAGTTACTGAGTACTCCCTCCGTCCCTTATAACTTTGCCAACTTTCCATTTTTGGATGTCCCAATAACTTTGCCACTTTCCCATTTAAGTAAAGAATTTGTGGTTCCAGTTAATTCTCTCTCCTCTGCACAAATCTCAACCACACAGTTTTTACTTTATTAATTCTCGTGCCAGTCAAACTTGGCAAAGTTATTAGGGACGGAGGGAGTATGATTTTAGCTAGGGCGGTTGTAGGCTTGTAGCCATAAACATAATTTCTTAAGCACCGTTGGAGAGAAAATTTTAATTTACCCGTCTGTGAGTCCATCTCAGCTTCACGGCCTCTCTACATAGTTGATGTGTCCATTTTTTATGGGATGCAATCCACATTCCCATTAAAGATGCTCTTATCGTTGTACTCTATTGATGATGTCATATCTCTCAAGCATTGGATTGATAAAATTTCTTTTTATACTTCCTTTGATGAAGAATTGTGAAGTTTGTGAAAACTTGGTGAAAATGATTTTTTGTAACATAGCATTTCAATACAAATGATTTCCTTCAATATATAATTATCATAGAAATTCTTGGAATCAATGGTACACGCTCAATTGTTTTATTTGCATGCAGAAAAGTAGTAGGCTCTCTGAAAAGTACTTCTAGGGATGGACCCGGGCCGGGCCGGTTCCGGTTCCGGGCCGGGCCCGGGCGGGCTTTTTTTGGGGATTGTTGGGCCCGGAACCGGCCCGGGGTGATACCGGGTCCGGTTCGTGCCGGGTCGACCCGGTCGGGTCCGGGCCGGGCCCGGGCTTTAAATTTTTTTTTTTTTTAGATACCATAATTAAATTAATATTACTTGGATATAAAAAAGGGTAAAACATATTTATTTGATATTTGTAGTACAATTGAAAATTGAGCAAAAATAAAAACATGAAATACACTTTATAATAAGTAATGAAGTATGAATCAATTAGAATTTCCTCCATCTTCAGTTGTTTCTTCCATAAAGTGGCGAGTGGGTTCAATGCTTATTTCTTGAGTTCTACGTTTGGCCTTCAACCAATCGTGGAAGCAAACAAGCGTCTCAAGAGAGTTTGCGCTTAATCTCGTTCTATAATCCGTTAGGACGTTGCCGGCCGCACTAAACTCTTGTTCCACAGCAACTGTTGATACCGGCATTGCTAGCACTTGCTTAGCCATCTTTGATAAGATCGGGAACGTTCTCTCTTTTTCCTTCCACCACTGAAGAACGTCAAAGTCATCCCCTTCTTCATAATCAACAGGAAATGTTAGATACAAAGAAAGCTCGTTGATCGAGCTTTGTTCATTAACCGGAGTTGATTTACTTTTTTTCATAAGATTGCCAAATGCAGATTTGAAAATTGATTTTCCTTTAGATGAAGAAGATGTTCGTGGCGGGGGAGGGGGTGCGTTACCATATTGTGCATGAAACTCATTAAATAATTGATATAATAAATTACTAACCTCTTGGAATTGTTGTTTAGGGTCTATGGCCTTGTCGTCGTACATAGGCAATGGACCAAAAAAAGAAGCATAATAGTAATCTAAACATTTTTCCAAAGAAGCAAGTCTAAAACGAGGATCAAGAATAAATGCAATACCATATATATGCGGAATATAGGAATAATATTTTAAAAACTTTTGTTTCATGAAGTCACAAAAATAACTAACGTAAGCGGCGTCAGAGAATTCAGAAAAAGCGCCGGCGAGATTAACAGCTTCAACAAAAAATTGGTTTGCGGTAGGTTTATAAACATGACTAAAAGTTTCAGTGGCATTATTAAAAAACACCAAAACATTCACAATTTTTTCACAAGTGTCGATATCGGCCGGGTTTATAATATAGTTAGCATATTCTCTTAAAAAAGCGGGAAAATGGTTTTTATATCTAATAAGCACTTTAATTAAATTATAAGTACTATTCCAACGAATAGACAAATCTTTAGGAAAAGCACAATATTTGACACGTCTTTCTTTCAAATAATTTCTCCATTGCATCTTAAGTGGATTACTAGCCCAAATCAGTTTAATCCCCCCCTTGACCACCTCCAAAGCATCTCCCAACGCCGCAAGACCGTCCTTTACACATAAATTTAAAATATGACATGCACAACGCTGATGAAAAAACCTACCCATCAAAGAAGATGAACCACACAATTCACGCAATCTAGGAATAGCCGCAGTATTATTAGTAGCATTATCAAAACCAATAGCAAACACCTTATCAATCAAATTATACTCAACTAAAATACGCTCAATGAGAATATAAATATTATCGCCGATGTGTCGATCATTAAATTCACGAAAAGCAAGAACACGTTTATGCATACACCAATCATCATCAATATAATGTGCAGTCAAACCCAAATAATATAAATGATGATGAGTATCCTCCCATATATCACTACATATGCTAACACGGCCATCAAAGTTTGCGAAAAATATTTGTAATTTTTCCTTTTCCAAAACATATTGCCTTATAACTTCTTTTTTAATTGTTTTGCGACTATAGTTTCGAAATTGAGGATTTAAAGTACCTTGAGCATATTCTTTTAAAGCAAGACTTTCGGAAAAAATAAAAGGCAAATTTTCTTCAACAATCAAATGCGACATACCAGTCAAATGTCTTTGATCATCATAGGAGAAATTACCGAAGGGTTGGCCACTTCCAAATCTTGAAATTTGTGTTTGCTTTCCCTTGCCTTTGTCTGATTTCGCATATTCCGCCGGGTGCTTGGCCTTAAGATGCCTTGTGGCGCTCCCGTACCCTCCAGAAGTTCCCAAGTTATACTTCTTTGGGCAATGCTTGCAAGTGGCGTACCATATCTCGGTTTGGGGGTCTTTAAATTTTGTAAAATTTGCCTTAAAGACTGATACAGCTTTCTCACCGCCTTGGGAAGAAGTAGCCACTTCCGCTTGCTCTTCATCATCGTACGGTGTGCCATGAACCTCGTGCTCGACCGTTTGCGGATCCCTCTCCTCCGCATCATCATCCTCGAGCTCTTCTTCGTCAATGGTCGGGATGTTTTGTTGATGGAAGAAGGCCCCTTGATTTTGTCGTAATAGTTGTTCTACTTGCTCATCGGACATCGCAGACCCATATCTTTGGTTATAATCCGCATCAAAATCATCTCGGGTTTGAGATGAAGCCTCGGCCCGTCCCTTACCTTTGTGCAAGCTTGGATGATTCCTCGCAATCTCCTTTGTTCGGTTGCGGCGGAGGTTACCCATATCTACTGAAGCTCTACCACGTTCCATCTTAAAAATATAACAAATATTAAATTCGAAGTACAATTAAACTAGTGAATTTCAAATACAAATCTAACAAATCGAACTACAATGTAACAATTAAATTCGAACAATTAAATTGACTACAATGTAACAATTAAAATGTACCAATTAAATTAACTTTTATTATAAAATTTGAACAACTTCAATATAAATAACAATTAACTAGTTCAATAGGAGAAATTTTAACTAGACATTAAATGTAACAATGCAATGAAATTTAGAGGAGAATAATAAATGTAACAATGAATTAACTATTTTGATAGGAGAAATTTAACTACTTTTATATTAAGTGTATAAGTAGATATAGTAAATATATATATTTAAAAGTAGATAATAAGTAGATTAACTAGTAATATATAATATTATGTTTATAGTATATATAATATAAATATATGACTATAAGATGAGGAATACACTTAATATATTAAGTAGATAAATTTTCGAACAACTATAATATAATTAACAATTAACTAGTTTGATAGGAGAATAATAAATGTAACAATTAACTAGTATTAGAGGAGATTAAGAAATGTAACAATTAACTAGTTTAACAAGTAAACAATTAATTTCGAATTCTTGTCTAACAATTTTTAATGTAACTATTTCCAATAAACTAACAACTACCAATTAACCACTTTTATAGCAATGAACTAATACTAAAAGTCTAAAATGATAAGTGAAACAATTAACAACTTTTATATTAATGAAGAATGTATTAGTGTGTAAACAAAATTAATGGGAATGTTTGATAGGAGAATAATAAATGTAACAATTAACTAGTATTAGAGGAGATTAAGAAATGTAACAATTAACTAGTTTAACAAGTAAACAATTAATTTCGAATTCTTGTCTAACAATTTTTAATGTAACTATTTCCAATAAACTAACAACTACCAATTAACCACTTTTATAGCAATGAACTAATACTAAAAGTCTAAAATGATAAGTGAAACAATTAACAACTTTTATATTAATGAAGAATGTATTAGTGTGTAAACAAAATTAATAAGTAGATAATATTATGTTGATAGTATATATAATATAAGATGACTAACAAGATGACTAACACACTTATATATGTAGTAAATATATATTTATAAGTAGATAATAAGTATAAATATATATAACTAATATAATAGTATATAAGTATATTACTATTATAACTAATATAATAGTATATAAGTATATAAATATATAACTAATATAACAAGATAATAGTATATATTATGTTAATATTACTACAAGATGACTAACACACTTATATATTATACTTTAATATATAAGTATATTACTATAAGTTGAGTAATACACTTATATATTATACTTTAATATATGTATAACTAATATAAGTATATATTAAGTATATGTAATATGTGAATATTACTAAATAAATATACTTATATAAGTAACAATAATATAATAATTAGATATTAATATAAGTAGATAATAAATTATATAAATATAATATATGTAGTAATAAATTTGAGAAATTGAGAAGATGAAGATGGGAAAGATTAATAGAGAATAGAGATTAGAGATTTAGAGAGTAGAGATATTTGGAGAAGATGTGTAGTAAAGTGTATAGAAAAAATGGAGTATTTATAGATATTTAGTACCCCACCCCCACCCCCACCCCCCCACCCCCCACCCCCCCCACCCCCCACCCCCCAACCCGGGACCCCCTGGAAGGCTCCCAACGGCTATAGAGCCGTTTGGGTTGAAAGCCAACGGCCATAAGGCCTGTTTGGCTGAAAAACAAATTTTTTTTTTTTTTTTTAAAAAGTAACCGTTAGGCCCGACCCGGGCCCGAACCGGCCGGGCCGGGCCACCAAACAATTGAACCGGACCCGAACCGCCAAACCCCCCCGGGCCGGGTCAAAGCCCGAACCGGTTCACCAGTCCCGGTTCCGGGCCGGGCCTGCACAGTGGCGGGCCGGGCCGGTTCCGGGCCGGGCCGGCCCGGTTGAGTCCATCCCTAAGTACTTCCCTTTGACTTTGATATCCTTACTCTTTTTTAGATTGCCCTGGTTCATACAATTTTGCAAAGAACTTCAATAAATTTAACATTAAATTTTAAATATCAGAAATACTACGTATGAACTTACACATTTCTGTCGCTACTTTTATGGATTGCGTGATTGTTTGAAGAATTAGTGGTTAAAAATTTATTCATTAAGTCTATAATATAAAAACTAAAATATTTAAATAATCTTTATATATATAAAGAGAACATGGTGGAGATCCAAATAGAAATCTATTTGGAGCCAAAAGAAGTGAAAAATTGTTGTCACTATTAATGAAGCATTACTTAATGAAGCCATATTAAATGCCAACCTAATTAATTGTTGTAAGTTATAAATAAAACTATAGAAAATATATTGAGCATAAAAACATTAAATATTAAAAAAATATTAGAAAAATATGAAAAGATACATATACATAATCAATTACGAGACGTAATATAATAAAGTTAAAAATGAAATGTTCTAATTTCAGAATATAAAATAGAGTATTAAAATATATTTGGATACAAATATTATATAAAGGACAATGATAATACTCAGTACCCCATTAAATGGGTCCAGAATTGACTTGCATGTGGAATATAAATAAAGTAAAACTTACTATGTATGTGATTGAGCTTTTTACAAATCAGTTGAGAACAATAATTTACCTGCACATTTATTAGTTTAAATGGAAATGACAATTTTTGTTGGGGCAGTTGCAAAAATAAAGTTAGCACAATTTAACGAGATGAGGGAGTAATTGTTTTTATAATTCAATTATAAAATAAAAATTCATTTATTTAATTCTACTATAACTATTCATTAGTAAATAAGTAACTATTTTAAAAATCCGTTGAAATCACAATTTTAAATAATGTTTCCCAATTTGAAATGATTTTTAGCATTTCCAATTTTGTTTACGAGTCAAATTGGTTCAATGATATTGAATTATACAACTTTACGGTTCAAGTCGCGATTTTAACAATATTTATATGTCGTTCTTATAAAAACATATAGTGATTTTAACAATCTTGATTTGTAGCTCTTATAAAGCATATATTGAGATGAATGAAGAGATATTATGGAGTATAAAATAAATATTTTCACTTTTCAGATGGAATATATTTAGAAACTTTAAAACACAACAAGATACTCCCTCCGTATCACATATATCTTCCCACTTCCAAAGTGGGTGAGATTAATAATAGTGAAATGAGGTATGAATTATTGAGGTTATGATAGGAAGATGGTGAAATAATGTGATGGAATGAAGGATAAATCCAAAAAAGTAGGTGTAGTAGTGTATTATTTTTTAAATTATTGAGGGTATGATGGGAAGATTTAGAGATGGGAAGATATAAATGTTACGTCCAAAAAAGGAAAGTGGGAAGATATGAATGTTACGGAGGGAGTAGTAAAAAGTAATGTCATGTGTTGAATAATCATCATAATTATAACTAAATAATACTACACATGAGATTGTAATACGATAACAATTGTTATCATCTTCATTAGACAAGATATGTTAGGGATGAAAGAATACTGATAGAGTATATGGGCCTGGACCCCATAGCCCACATACTCAATGGCCCAAAAGACACCAGCGGGGATACCCGCATCGGCCAGAGGCACGTACCGTCCAAGAAAGAAGATGTCGCCTGAGTTATTTGGATGACATCGTCCATGGAGCGCATCGTCCATGGACCGCATCGTACATGGACCGCATCGTCCATGGACCGCGTCGTCCATGGACCGCATCGTCCGAACTTCGCCCGGACAGAATGTATTTTCCTATTTTATGTACTAAGTGTTGTACTCAGCCCATTAGTGGCCTTATTTGCCCAAAGAAGGCATGATTATTGTAATGGGCCTCCTAAGCCCAAGGCTAGGGGCCCAAACCCATCTTTTTTACCTATAAATAGACCCCAAGGGGCTAGTTATAGGGGGTTCCTAATTGAGAAATATAATTACTCACTCTCTCTCTCTAGCTCTCACTTCTCTCTAGAATTAATACTCTATCATTTGGTGCTCTCGTTGAGAGCTTAGAACAGATCAAGTGAGTACCCTTCGTCGCTACCAGACACTACCACTAGCTATGACAAGGACTAGATCAAAGAACACTGGTAGGAATGCCCCTCTGAACCAGGAAGGGCAGGGAAACGTTGCTGACAACGTCCCCAATGACCTCATCAACCAGGATGAGAACGCTCAGGAGATCGAGCACGCGACGGCTGACCTTCGCGTCCAGCTCAACAAGACTGCCCCAGACGCCCGCATCGGGCTCGAGGACAGGCGCAATGCTGATCGCGCTTCGGGCCAGCAGGCTTCTCACCCTGCTGCCCCCCAGATCAACCCGGCCGCACTATCGGCCATCGTCGCGAGCATTCTCCAGGACCCCAACGTGGTCAGCGCTCTCGTCGCAAAGACAGGGGAGAACAACACTCCGGCAACTGGAGAGGTCGCAACGGTGCCACCACCGCCACCTCGTCCGCAAGGCGTCACCTTCTTCGGTGACAACGAGGACGTCCTCGCCGTGGACACCCATTCCCACACTGCCTCACCTACCCGGGATACACCGGCCCAACCTCGCGGTAAAATCTCAGCCTTCAACAGGCTGGGTGACATCGCGAGCCGTCGGGTACCTACGGGAGGGGTGGCGGGTCGGTTGGGTGGCCGCGAGCCGGGGTCGCCAAAGGAAAGCTTCGGATCCGTTTCCCGGACGACGGATCGGCCCCGACCAGATAAAGGAAAGGGAAAACTGAATGATAATGATGCACGTCATCAGATCGACCTGGCCCACGCGGCCCGGATCCAGACACCACTGTGTGGCGCTGCGGCCAACACGGACCCAAGGGACGAGATCATCGCCCGCCTGGAAAAGCGCCTCGCGGATATGGAGGCCCGGGAGGCCGCAGGGCGCGCAGCGGCTCATACATCCCAACATCCCAACTACGATGCACTCCTGCACAAAGTCAGTGCCTTGGAGAGGGAGCTGGCCGACCGACGCGACGAGCCCGTCATCCAAATCCGGACCCGGACCCCCTTCTCCGCAAGGGTGCTCTCCGCTCCCATCCCAGAGAAGTACAAGGGGAACCCGATCAAGCCATATGACGGCCGCACTGATCCACAGGAGCACTTCACCCGTTATCAGAACAATATGATGATGACCAACGCTTCGGAAGAGTACATGTGTCGCTGGTTCCTATCCACCTTGGAGGGACCAGCGTACGATTGGTTCAACAACCTTCCGGAGGGAAGCATCGACTCATGGCAGGACCTTGCTCAGCGCTTCCTCACCCACTTTGCCGGAAGGAAGCGTGCGAAGAAGCATT